GAAAAAAAAAACAATAACCCATTTGAGATTGACCGAAAAAAAAAATAACCCATTTGAGATTGACCAACAAATACGACGACTAAACGAAAATTTAAACCTTCAAAGTACTTTCTAAATTACATAGATTAAAATTGATAGAAGACCACAGGACAATTTGATTTTTTAATGACTCGTATATAAGCATGTAAAAAGAAACAACTCCCTATAAGCCCCACAGTTGGGGTAACCATGCTTTATTTACAATTTAATGCCGAAGAGAATGTCAAACATTTAATTTAATATCTGTTTTGAAAAAGAAAACTAAAGAAGAAATGGGTCAATTAATTAAAAAATGGTGTAATTAAAAAATATTTAGTAACACATTATTCTAAATAATTTATTATAAAGAACAAAATCAATCAAAATATTTATTATTTTCTTTTATTATGTATATAAAGGTTTATTAATTTTGATGGTTGGAATTTTGGTTGAAAATTTTTTAAGTAAGCTCTCATTTATATTTTTCTTTCAATCAATTTTTAATTTATAAAAAATTGACTCAATTAGTTTGTTTTTATTAATATTGTATTAAAGATAATAAATACATCACGTATCATAGGTTTTTAAATTTTTAAATTATTTTTGTCAAGATGTTAGATGCATGGTATATTACATATTTAATGTTAGTGTTACACTATAAATATTTTGTTCCTTATACATGTTTTTTGTTTGATATAATATTGTGCTTTGGGACTAAATTTATTATTTATATAGATAGTTTAGTGATATTTTTATTAAAATTAACTTTTTAATATATTAAATTAAAATAATTAAAGTAGTTACATGTTAAATTAATTTATTATAAATATTATTTACTTAAATGATTTTATATATGTTTTTTAATTATATAATAAAAATTGACTTTTTTAATTATTTTAATTTTAAATTATAATATTTTAAGTCAAATAAATATTTATTCCATATTTTATTTTAAGTAAGATATTTTTCCATTTATCATATAAATATTATTAAATTTATTAAATAAATTTAAGTTTCTTTACCAAGTAAATATTTAGAGCTATTATATTATTAATTAATATATTTTTACAAGATTATAAACAACTTTATTTAAATAAAATTTAATAAAATTGTTAATTTAAAAATAATTTTAGAAATATTTAATAAAAAAATTACTTTTAATATATACATAAATATAACATTTACACAACAAAATTTAGTTTCATTTAAAAAAGAACAAAAATGCTCCAAAATTTTTAAAACATTAAAATTGAATTAAATAGAAAATATATATAAAAACTGAATTAAATATAACACTAATAATATTACCTGACACATAAACTTAAACTTAACATGTGAACAATTTTTTTCTAAAAAAATTATAAAAAAACCTACACACTTACGCGCATATTTTATTATTAAACTTATCATTATGAATAAATGATATTAACATTTTAATATTTTATTTTAAATCTAGATGTATTTTAAACGTTATAAATCTATCATTTTGTGTTGTATTTGGAGGGCTGGTTGGATAATTGAAGAGTATTTGAATGAATTTTAAAATCACTGATTTGGAAACTGAAAGAATTATAAAGGCAATGTGGAGGACGACGTTTAGGGGAGTTGAGAGAGAAGGGTTATTTGAACCGTCTTGGTTAGAGATAGCAACCATTCACCCACTTGAGAAAACACGAAGGCCAACAACGCCCTCCCTGAATTCTCTGGAGGGCAATTCCGTCATTTGAATATTTCGGTAGTAAAAGGTCCTTTTTAAGACAAAGAAAATAAATAAATATATGCACAAACGCTCAGAGGCAAACAACATTTGTGGTTCTGCCTGCAAATTTTCTTCCCTCAATCTAAATTCCTCAGGTGGTGTTCCTGTTCTCCAAAGCACCCCTGAGATTCATTTGCGGAAACTTGAAAACAAAATAAATAATCATTTCCAGTCTTAGATTTCTTTTAGGTTTTTTCTTTTCATCTTCCAATGGCGTCCGATGCCGTCACCGACAAGAACATTGTCTTCAGGAAACTCAAGGCTAAGTCTGAAAATAAGGTTTATTTTCTATTCAATTTTATCGCTCATTTCTTGATTTCTCTTTATGTGCACTGAATTTTCGTTTCTGCTTTCTGATTTACGAGATCTGGTTTCAGATCTGCCTTTCCGTGCTTCTCCTATGTTTCATTTTTTAATTTCTGTGCCTTGTTTTTTTCTTTTCAGATGTGTTTCGATTGCAATGCGAAGAATCCTACCTGGGCGTCCGTCACGTATGGGATCTTCCTCTGCATCGATTGCTCCGCCGTTCACCGCAGTCTCGGCGTGCACATCAGCTTCGTGAGGTAAGAAGTTGATGATTTTTTTGAATGGTGAATCTGTTCGTTCAGTTTTCTCTGCGAAATTGTTTGTTTGTCTCGGTTTGCAATATAATTGTGTGGCTGATTTTGCATTGGGAGTGTTGTATGGTGTTTTAGTGGGAGTTCTGAGTGTTCATAAGGATGAATTTAGTGCACTGCCTTGTAATGCTGTGATGTGTTATCATTTAGAGATTTCCCTAAGCCAAAAATTTGGTTAAAACTCGAATAATAAATGAAACCAGACTCCAGAATTTGGTCTCTAGTTGCGGCATGAATAAGAGGAGCCTCATTCCATTAGGTGATGTGGGATACGTGGATTGCATGATGCCATTGCACTCGGTTATAAACCTTCTATTTCTTCTTCCTTAACCTCCTCTGTCCATCCATGTTTACTTCCTTTTCGTATGTTTGGAAAAATTAATAATTCTACATTTCCATTCCCTGTTCCATGATCTTGTAAAAACTCCACAAAAAGGAATGAATCATGCCTCACTTGTGGGTTTTCTTGTCTTGTTTTGGCCTTTAGGTACTTTGTCCAGTTTGCATCATAATTGCACTTGCACATAGGAGAGGCGTTGCCTTTAGATAATCCCTTCTAAACTCTTCCATTCCACGAAGATTCTTTACTTTCGTGAACACTTTCAATTCACCACTAAGATTTTGTATTAGTCTTCTTGAGGCACAACCCAGTTGATTCTTAGAATTGTAATTTGTCAAGTTTTTGTTCAGGACTCTTGATATGAATGCCATATGCTGTGCAGTAAGGCTCTCACCTACAATCGCCTTGCAAGCTCTTTTATTAGAACTCCTGAAAAGCTTTGAACCATGTCTCAAACATGATTCAAATCACGTAAGATACAGGTCTTGTGTCTGTTGATTGTTTGGAGTGCAGGTCTTTTAATGGAAATCAGCATAACTTGGGATATGATATGGGATTTGTAGTAAAATGATTTGGTGATGACCTTTGTCATGGGGAATTTTAATTTTAATTCAAAGCATGTAACTCTTTCTGAATATTACTTTTCAAGTTTAGTAATGATCCTTGGACAGACTTTGTCCTCTCATAGTTGAAAGGGACCCCAATGTGGTTCCTTCAGAAAAAAAGGTTATGTATGGTTTGCATGAGATTTTGTGTTTGTGAGGATGAAGCCTGGGCAAATATCTTTATTGTTTCTGATTCCCTTTTATTATTTTCCCTTAGATTATTCAGTCAAGAAATGAGTTTGTGGCTTGATAGGATAATTTGCTATGTAGTTAATATTTTACTGTGCTCTTTGTGGGTAGCTGAATGGATACTTCTTTGAAAATAAATGAAGCAATCATGGAATTATCAGACAGTAGTTGGTTTTTCAGGGACGTGTGTCTGGAAAAGTTTGGGCTGGAGGCATTTGTTTTAAGCATACATGATTTCTTAATCTAAAATGGCTATATTTGTATATTCAATGAGTTGCAAGGAGCTTTGCATATTTCATANCTAAAAATTTAAAAAGAAAAAACTTCATGGATGTTGTCACATCCATTATAATAAATTTTTAAAAATTATTTTATTGTTTAAATAATAATACATAATTTAAATTAATAATTATTATTTTATTAAATAAAAAAATTAATTTATAATTAATTAAATAATAATTTAAAAAAATTAAATAATATTTATATATTAATTTAAAATAAAAAACTAAAAACTTTAAAAAGAAAAAAACTTCACGGATGTGGTAACATCTGTATCCGTTTTAATAAATTTTTAAAAAGTATTTTAATTATTATTTAAAATAATAATACATAAATTAAATTAATAATAATAATTTTATTAAATAAAATAAAATTAATTTATAAATAATTAAGTAATAATTTTTAAAAAAATTAAATAATATTTATATATTAATTTAAAAATTTAAAAAAACTAAAAACTTAAAAAAAAAAACTAAACGGAAGGGGCACATCCGTTGAAGAATTTTTTCTTCAACGGATGTCGACATCCGTTCAAGAAAAAAGGAGAAGGTGTAGGATATTTTAAAATATAAAGGATAGTTTTAGAATTTAAAAAAAAGTGTGGTGGTGCAGGAGCTGGTGGTGTTGGGAGTAACTCCCTATGAAGGTTGAGATTATTAAATCCAATGTAGTTACGAACACATGACCATTTCTTTCTGCACTTTGATAATTTTAACTTGTATCCCCATAAATTTTTTCTATTATAAATTACACATTTTAGAATATAAAATAAAAAATGTATTTCAAAATATAAATGTTTTTCCAATTGTACTAATTGAAGTACAAAAATTATATTTCAGCATACAAAATTTACATGTCAAAATACACCATCTGATATAGAATAATTTATAAAAGTACAGGAAGGAAATTTGTAGATGTACATGAAGGAACTACTCCAACACAAGTGTCCATAGAATGGGAGCTTATAGAACCCTAAACAAATCCTCTTTATTACTCAATCAGGGATTTCTTTTTGCACCCCTTTATTTTTTTCTTGGTAAATATGAAAACTCACATTGTCTATGAGTTTTATAGACTATCCCATCTAAAATATATTTTTTAGTATAAGGAAAACTTTTAAATCATATAATTCAAAAGTTAATTTGGAATTCTGAATGGTAAAATCTATTTTATTTTTACTTTCAAACTGTATAATCTGAAAATCATTTTTTAAATTGTCGAAAATGATTTTTGTACAATTTTTTTTTTAAAATACACAATACTAAAATTATTTTTTGACTTTTAAATTGTTTAATCTAAAAATATATTCAAATTATACAATTTAAATATATTATATAAAAATTTACTTTCAAATTGTATAATTAAAAGTACTTTCTAAATTACATAGATTAAAAATGATAGAGGACGACAATTTGATTATTTAATGACTCTCATATAAGCATGCAAAAAGAAACTACTCCTCAGAAGCCCCACAGTTGGGGTAACCATGCTTTATTTACAATTTAATGCCGAAGAGAATGTCAAACATTTAATTTAATCTCTGTTTTGAAAAAGAAAATTAAAGAAGAAATTGGTCAATTAATTAAAAAATGGTGTAATTAAAAAATATTTGGTAACACATTATTCTAAATAATTTATTAAAAAGAACAAAATCAATCAAAATATTTATTATTTTCTTTTATTATGTATATAAAGATTTATTAATTTTGATGGTTGGAATTTTGGTTGAAAATTTTTTAAGTACCTCTCATTTATATTTTTCTTTCAATCAATTTTTAATTTATAAAAAATTGACTCAATTAGTTTATTTTTATTAATATTGTATTAAAGATAATAAATACATGTCATGTATCATAGATTTTTTAATTTTTAAATTATTTTTGTTAAGATGTTAGATCAATGGTATATTACATATTTAATGTTAGTGTTACAATATAAATATTTTGTTCCTTATACATGTTTTTTGTTTGATATAATATTGTGCTTTGGGACTAAATTTATTATTTATATAAATAGTTTAGTGATATTTTTAATTACTTAAATGATTTTATATATGTTTTTTAATTATATAATAAAAGTTGATTTTTTTAATTATTTTAATTTTAAATTATAATATTTTAAGTCAAATAAATATTTATTCCATATTTTATTTTAAGTAAGATATTTTTCCATTTATCATATAAATATTATTAAATTTATTAAATAAATTTAAGTTTCTTTACCAAGTAAATATTTAGAGCTATTATATTATTAATTAATATATTTTTACAAGATTATAAACAACTTTATTTAAATAAAATTTAATAAAATTGTTAATTTAAAAATAATTTTAGAAATATTTAATAAAAAAATTACTTTTAATATATACATAAATATAACATTTACACAACAAAATTTAGTTTCATTTAAAAAAGAACAAAAATGCTCCAAATTTTTTAAAACATTAAAATTGAATTAAATAGAAAATATATATAAAAACTGAATTAAATATAACACTAATAATATTACCTGACACATAAACTTAAACTTAACATGTGAACAATTTTTTTCTAAAAAAATTATAAAAAAACCTACACACTTACGCGCATATTTTATTATTAAACTTATCATTATGAATAAATGATATTAACATTTTAATATTTTATTTTAAATCTAGATGTATTTTAAACGTTATAAATCTATCATTTTGTGTTGTATTTGGAGGGCTGGTTGGATAATTGAAGAGTATTTGAATGAATTTTAAAATCACTGATTTGGAAACTGAAAGAATTATAAAGGCAATGTGGAGGACGACGTTTAGGGGAGTTGAGAGAGAAGGGTTATTTGAACCGTCTTGGTTAGAGATAGCAACCATTCACCCACTTGAGAAAACACGAAGGCCAACAACGCCCTCCCTGAATTCTCTGGAGGGCAATTCCGTCATTTGAATATTTCGGTAGTAAAAGGTCCTTTTTAAGACAAAGAAAATAAATAAATATATGCACAAACGCTCAGAGGCAAACAACATTTGTGGTTCTGCCTGCAAATTTTCTTCCCTCAATCTAAATTCCTCAGGTGGTGTTCCTGTTCTCCAAAGCACCCCTGAGATTCATTTGCGGAAACTTGAAAACAAAATAAATAATCATTTCCAGTCTTAGATTTCTTTTAGGTTTTTTCTTTTCATCTTCCAATGGCGTCCGATGCCGTCACCGACAAGAACATTGTCTTCAGGAAACTCAAGGCTAAGTCTGAAAATAAGGTTTATTTTCTATTCAATTTTATCGCTCATTTCTTGATTTCTCTTTATGTGCACTGAATTTTCGTTTCTGCTTTCTGATTTACGAGATCTGGTTTCAGATCTGCCTTTCCGTGCTTCTCCTATGTTTCATTTTTTAATTTCTGTGCCTTGTTTTTTTCTTTTCAGATGTGTTTCGATTGCAATGCGAAGAATCCTACCTGGGCGTCCGTCACGTATGGGATCTTCCTCTGCATCGATTGCTCCGCCGTTCACCGCAGTCTCGGCGTGCACATCAGCTTCGTGAGGTAAGACGTTGATGATTTTTTTGAATGACGAATCTGTTCGTTCAGTTTTCTCTGCGAAATTGTATGTTTGTCTCGGTTTGCAATATAATTGTGTGGCTGATTTTGTATTGGGAGTGTTGTATGGTGTTTTAGTGGGAGTTCTGAGTGTTCATACGGATGAATTTAGTGCACTGCGTTGTAATGCTGTGATGTGTTATCATTTAGAGACTTCCCTAAGCCAATTTGGTTAAAACTCGAATAATAAATGAAACCAGACTCCAGAATTTGGTCTCTAGTTGCGGCATGAATAAGAGGAGCCTCATTCCATTAGGTGATGTGGGTTACGTGGATTGCATGATGCCATTGCACTCGGTTATAAACCTTCTATTTCTTCTTCCTTAACCTCCTCTGTCCATCCATGTTTACTTCCTTTTCGTATGTTTGGAAAAATTAATAATTCTACATTTCCATTCCCTGTTCCATGATCTTGTTAAAACTCCACAAAAAGGACTGAATCATGCCTCACTTGTGGGTTTTCTTGTCTTGTTTTGGCCTTTAGGTACTTTGTCCAGTTTGCATCATAATTGCACTTGCACATAGGAGAGGCGTTGCCTTTAGATAATCCCTTCTAAACTCTTCCATTCCACGAAGATTCTTTACTTTCGTGAACACTTTCAATTCACCACTAAGATTTTGTATTAGTCTTCTTGAGGCACAACCCAGTTGATTCTTAGAATTGTAATTTGTCAAGTTTTTGTTCAGGACTCTTGATATGAATGCCATATGCTGTGCAGTAAGGCTCTCACCTACAATCGCCTTGCAAGCTCTTTTATTAGAACTCCTGAAAAGCTTTGAACCATGTCTCAAACATGATTCAAATCACGTAAGATACAGGTCTTGTGTCTGTTGATTGTTTGGAGTGCAGGTCTTTTAATGGAAATCAGCATAACTTGGGATATGATATGGGATTTGTAGTAAAATGATTTGGTGATGCCCTTTGTCATGGGGAATTTTAATTTTAATTCAAAGCATGTAAC